TAGAGTAGACTACAATGCCGGCTGTTCTGACTCACAGACTGTAAGTACGTTTTTTATATTTAAAGATTTTGCCACTGATGATTCAAACGCGAGTTTTGAGCAGTGTAGAGTAGCACTTGTTGTTTGTCATTTCTCTGATCACAAATGCAGACATGGTTTTATGTTACGCTCCGGCCTGACAGTAGAGGTCTGCGCGGGACTGTTTTTTTTCCTCTCCTGCAAGGTTCTATTCCGCACCCACCCGCTCCCGCTATATATTCACTCTTTGTTCACCCGCTGTCCGCTTAGAATAATTTTCTACCCGACCGTTCCCGCTAAATTTAGATATTGTTTCCGCTACTGAAAGAAAGAGAGATAGGCTAACAAATACAAGTCTAGTCTGCACAAAATTGTATGTTATTTTATTCGTCTTCTTGTCAAGAGTCTTGAATTTATTGACTTTGACTTGAATTTATATGAATTATCTTAAGACACAAAATTTGTTTAATATTTTATGGAACACAGTAGGAAAAAAAAGTGTCAGAGAAAATAAAAAGGCTGTACAAAAATTGTATTTCTTATTTTTATTCGTCTTGTCAGGATGCAATTCGTTTAACATTGACAACACAATAGGGAAAAAGTGTCGCAGAGAGAAAATAAAAATAAAAATGTAGGTTGTACAAAAATAGCCTATTAGCTCTTTTTATTCGTCTTGTCAAAATACTAAATTCGTTTGACATTTTTCTGTTAACACAGTAGGAAACGTGACTGCATAACAGTCCTGAGCGCAAGCTGTACCGGTGGTCAATAAGAATAAAGCGCAGATATGCTGTTCTGAATGGACGTCGGGAACGGGATATTGTTAGACTGCCTGCTCCCGTTCAAATTACACCAGAGTTACCGACCGCTACCGCGTTTTATTCGGGAATTTAATCCCACGGCGCAAAAAAATCCAGTCGGGTCCCGCGGTAATGCAGACCTCTACCTGACAGGGCATCATCACAGTATGGTGAGGGGCATAACATTTCCGTCACACGTTTGAGGTATTCGGCCAATCACAACACACTGGATAGCTGGCCAATCACAGCACACCTCGCTTTTCAGACCAATGAGCTTTGTAAAAATCGACACGTTTCAGAAAGGCGGGGCATAGAGGAGAAACAATAATGTACAATATGTGGAAAATAATGTGTTTTTTTAACCTTAAACCGCATAAACACATTTCATAACACCAAATACACAAAATAATGTTCTTTTTAGCAACATCATATGACCCCTTTAAGACAGTTTGAACATGCATTTTAGTCTGAGACTGGCCTGTGAATCCGGAGGATAATGTTTATATAACGTTATCTGTGCTCTCTTTTCACAGCTAAGAGGGCCATACTTACACTTCCAAATCATCTCTTTCATTTCTTCTTCCTTTCTTCTTCCTTCCAAAACAAGATAGTCATTAAGAGGGCTCTGGAACTAGACAGAAGTATATTCATCCGTTTTTGTTTTTATACCGTTAATTAATTTAAACTTACTCTTTCAAACAACAGCCATGTCTATAGGTTGTTTGCACATTACGTCACTGATGACGCGCGATATGCGGCTGGAGGGCAGAAAGTGATTTTTCTCCATAGAAATCACTAGATGAAACTCAAAATGCCTGTGTTTTGCGTTGTTTATGGATGCTCAAATTGGCCAAACCGAGAAACCACAAGGAGCTTTTATCGTGTACGAAAATGTGTTGTTCATAAGGGGGGAAAAGTCAAGAGATTGGTTGAAAAACGCAGGACAAAGTGGCTTTTTAAACCTGCGGGAGTAGCGGAGCCGGATAATGCTTGTGTGTGCAGATGGTTAATATAAGATATAATAATATATTAAGATATTAATAAAGATATAAATAGATTGGGCTGACACCTCTCACGCAGTCAGCGTGAGACAGTAAAAATTCACTCAGTGCTAAACGCCACACATAGACACGGTGTAAATAAGATATTATTTGCAGTTCGGAGAGCTTCACTGATTATAAAGGAACATCGTGAGATTGCGATAAATTGAAGTGAGTGACAGCTTTTTAGTGATTATATGGAAACGCGATTTGCTTGCTTTCTAGGCTATCCCTGTTGAAAAAAACAGCATAAGCTGGTTAGGTATGCTGGTCCTTTGCCAGCACATGACCAGCATAAACCAGCAAAAGGACCAGCATAAACCAGCAAAGGACCAGCTTAAACCAGCAAAGGACCAGTTTTAACCAGCAAAGGACCAGCTTAAACCAGCAAAGGACCAGTTTTAACCAGCAAAGGACCAGCTTAAACCAGCAAAGGACCAGTTTTAACCAGCAAAGGACCAGCTTAAACCAGCAAAGGACCAGTTTTAACCAGCAAAGGACCAGCTTAAACCAGCAAAGGACCAGCGTAAACCAGCATCCCAGCGTCAAAACATACCTAACCAGCATATGCTGGTTTTTTCAAGAGGGTAATCAATTCAGAATTTGAATAAAAGTTTTGTTTTATGTGCTGCTAACAGGACCAACAGCCGCATACCCTGTACATGCAGCAAAGTTTCAGGAGTGACATATATCCCGCATCC